GGGCCCTGTGGGCCGGATAGAATGGCCTCACAGGCCAGATCCGGCCCGTGGGCCTTATTTTGCCCACCCCTGCTTCAGGCCACGTGTTTTTATGGCTCTTGTTTAAACTCATTCTTGACTATGGTTTGTAAACTAGTTGATAACTTGGCTGAGTGTCTGACTCTAGCATTTCCACTTCCTTGCTGCCTTCTCACTTAACTACGTGTGTTTTCATGTAACTTACGTTGTTTCTAGACAATTTTAAAGTTCCAGGTTCCTTCCTATTCTCTCTCAACTCCACCTCTTTCTCCAGCTCTCATTTCAGTGTTCTGACTTGCCATTCCTGCCTCCATCTCTAACCTCAATGTGTATATAATATTTACTCTTCCAAAAGAAGAAAACATACCCCATCTTTTGTCTGACTCCTAAAAGTTCATCCTTCTCCATCTCCTACAAGTTAAGTAAAGAACAGGCTTTCCTCTGTGCTTCATCAACCTCCCGGCTCCTCTGATATACTTCCTGAATGGAGTCCAGGTCTTGAGACTATGTTCAACATTTCTCTGTGGTTGTCTTGTTTGCTTATGAACAAAAACATAAGTATATATGGAGATACTGGTTTTTTTAACTAAAGTATTTCATAAAACTGATGCTCCAGTTACGATGCATATGTCTTTACATAGACCCTTTTACCAGCAGTGTTTGAGTCAAAAACACTAAGTATGTTTTTTTTTTAATTTTAAGTACTGTCAAAAAAAATTGGGAAGTCCATATCTTGATATAACTCTAGCTAATGCTGTCTGAATATACTCTCAAGTATCTTTTTCTAATTGTATATTTACATGGTCTCTGTATATTTTACCACTCAAATATTTGTGCTTTTAATTATTTAGTTCTTGTTCATTCAAATAAACTGTGGCCATATGTTTCTCTTTCTTTGCTGTTGATTCATTGTGTTTAAACATCTAGCCATTCTTTGGGGCTTAATATCTGTAGTTCATGATCATCTTAAAATTATAAAATGGAAAAAGCTGCCTACATTCCCTAAAGCATTATAAACAAAGACTATAATATTTATATTTTACAGTGATTTAATTTTAGATGTAGTTTCAAACCTGTGTTTGAATAGTATCAAGGAATTGATTCTTTTTGTTCCTAACACAAAAATATTTACAGTGACCTCCTACAGATTATTCCTGATTTGCATGATATTTGGATTTCAAGTCATTAATTTTATTTTTCCAGTTATGACAGCTGTACAAGCTGTTTCTGGCTCTAAAACTACCATTAAGTTTCTCTTGGATAGGGTTTAGTTTAATCTAAGGGTGCTTAAACAAGTTACATTTTCCACATGATTGGGAAATGAAAGTGATCTACAGCCATGACATAACACATTTGCATGGCTGCAGTGCAGTTTTAAAATGGCCAGTCTTACAAAAAATTAACTCTTGTTAAATGAGGTATTAGGTGAAGGTGCTAGAGCACCTTGGGGAACTTATGTTCCCTCAAGGGTTAATTTTGTGGGGAGGGAGGGGTGGGGAGCAGCACAGAGCTGCTGCCTGGGTTGGCCTGACCAGAGCTGGGAAGGGGAAGTGGGGTAGAATGGAGCTCCCTCGCCTTGCGGGGTCCCTCCCCCAGCTACCCTGTCTGGAGTACAGGGGGAGCCGAGCCAAGCCGGGCCGTCCTACGAGGCAAGGGGGCTCCGTTTCACCCCCCTTCCCCCCTCCTGCTGGTCCAGCTCCAGCCAGGCCAAGCTGACCCGGCCACTGGTGCCACTCCTGCTAAGAGGCCCGGGAAAAGAGCCCCACTTGCTTCACAGGACTGGCCCGGCTTGGCTCAGCTCCCCCCCAATATCCCAACCAAGGTAGGTGAGGGAGACTCATGAGGCAAAGGGCCTCATTCCACCTCATCTCTCCAGATCTGGCCAGGCCAAGCCCAGCCGGCAGCTCTGTACTGCTCCCCGTCCCTCCCCTGCTGGCAGCCCCGGAGCTGAGTGGGGATGGGGGCAGGGGCGGTTTGCCAGTCTCGGAGGCTGCTGGAGCACTCCCTCCTGCTGTCCAGGGCGAACATGTGCGGGGTTGGGTGGGCTCTAACTCACGTAAAGCACTGTGAATTTGAATGGGGCCCTACACATCTATAGGCACCCTAAATTTCATTTTAAACTTGCCGTGCATGTTGGGTGTTTGGGTGTCCTCATAAATTCTTAAGGGCCAAGTGCTGTGTTTAATTATGTAGAAGGTAATTGCTTCTCTGTGGTGTTGGAGAAAAACAGAGAAAAAACACTTTCCTACTGTTGTGCCGCACACTTTTCAATACTGAGGTCCTTAACCCTCCTTTTCAGTTTCTTAAACAACGATTATTTTGCCAAGTAGATTTTTTTAGAACACCTCTCTCAATGGTAGCTGCACATATGCCAGATAATTAACATCAATTTATTAATGCCATGTTCCCACATTGTCCTGCTTTTTGGATTGAGAAAGATATGGCCAAGTAGCTAACTTTAAAAAACAAACAAACTTTTTTAATGATGAATATACCTTGCAATTCTTTGTAAGCATGCTTATGTTCACATTTAAGAATATCCAAAAAAAATTTTTTGTGCTTTGCAACACAACGTAAACAGTAATACATAATAATATAGACCTATCAGTATGGTGAATCTGCACTGATTCACCCTGAGCAGGAAACCTCAAGTGTGAATATGACTGTGTTTATGTGAGGGAGATGTTGTTGCTGTCTGGTAAGACAAGAAACTTGATGCGCCTTATTGCACAGTACAGTGACCTCCAGAGTTCCTGTTCATCTTCCCTGCTCCTCTTCTCATCTCTGCAAGTTGTATACCAGTGCTCCTTGAGTTCTGGTGTGAAGGAAATTGCTGCAAAGGCAGCCTGAGTAGAGGAAAGGGTTCTAGTTAGGAAGGTCCTTAGAAAAAGGTGCTGGCTTTTTTGTTTCTTTATCAGTTGTTTCCTATGAATATCAGTGTTGCCTTAGTTCTCTCATACCTTGCTATGTTGCAAGCATAGATTTAATTGTTGAGCGGCCAGCATTGAAGTTCTGCTGTTGGTGTGGCAGTCCCTGTATTGTTGTCTCCCTTTCTTTTTTAATTATAAAGGGGGCGGGTGGTGTAGAGTAGATATTGGAGTTGTCATGACAGCTAGCTTAGCAGAAGGTATCCATTGAAGGTGCTGTTGATGGAAAAAATAGTAATAGCATAATGGTCTTTCTAGCATACAACTGTTCTAGTTTCCATCATTAGGAGACCAGCCCAATATAGCTATAAGCAAGTTGGATAACTACAGGTAAACAGCAAATAAAATGTTAATGTGAACTACTGGCTTTCCAGGTTCCTGAGGTACACACCACACTAATTAAATTCTGCTGGGTTGTCTAATTGTATTTCTCTGCTGGATACAGTAACTTACAGGATGGGCTTCCTTAAATACTATATAAAAAATCTGGAAATATACTATCCTGTGGCACAATTTTAAGATTGCAGATTATGCTGACTACAGAAGTGTTTAATTCTTTAGTATTTGAACTTGGATCAAAAGGTATCCTCCGCATGTTTAATGTATTGAGAACATTCTGTGATCCATAATATCAGTGTTTTAAAATAAGTCTTAAAATGCAGTGTTGTGTGGTATCATCTGAAAACATATACTTGTCTATTGACTGCTACATTTCAAATGATTATGTGGAGAAACCAATGAAGAGTAGTTTTTTTTTTTCTTTTTAGCGTAGTGCTGATAAAACTGTGGCTTTAGGTAGGTCTTTCAAAAGTTTCATATACAGTACAATTGCTACTTTTATTGTCATTTATGTCTCTATATCTTGCTTGCCACCAAACAACTTTGAGGTAAACAGGCTATTTCAACTTTTCTCTGAGCCTAATCTGCATAGAATGAACTGTTCCAACCAAGAGATTTTACCACACCTTCAACTCTCCTATGAAATATGAACTTTAATTTCTACCTAGGAGAACTTTTCTAATATTTTCTCCTATGCCTCAAGAAGGGTGCTTGTGCTCAAAAGCTTGCAGTGAAAGAATTTTTTTGGCAAATATCTAGTTGGTCTAATAAGAGATCACCTCTACCACAAGTTCTGATTTCCACATGCGCTTTGCCTTTATCCTGGTGATGTGAATGCTGCTTTAGAAGGGAAGAAGTGCATTTGAATCCCTTCTGGCTGAGCTTGTAGGCATCTACCCTCAAGGGAGGATTCTGGCTCTGTATTTTAAGGAGGTTTAAGACCTTGGAAGCTTAGGTGCCTAACTCTGGGTTTTATATTTCACTCCAGGGCTTAGATGCCCAAGTGACCTTCCCATGATTAAATATTAAATGGATAAAAACACAAAGATTATTCTTATCAGAAACTCCCTCCTTGGTTTACACTTATGCCTGCTCCACCAAGCTTTGAGGAATAATCAGGTGATTTAAGATTAAAAGAGAAAAATTTGAGCTCTTCTTCAATGTACTCCTTATGCAATGTCCTTTGGAGTTTTTATCATTTTAGGCAGACTTTTTCTGTGTTTGAATAGCCAGACATTCAAAGGCCTAACCTATTCAGTGCTAATTACATGCTAATAGCAGCTTTGCTAATATTAAGCAATACTTGACAGAACCCATATATTCAGAAATGCAGAAAAATAGCAGGTACCAAATAGAATCATTCTGACTTCCCTAAAGTTTCAAGGGGAACTGGTTCCAGATAGAGTGCGAGTTTAAAGGTTTTGGAAGTTCTTGGTATAACTATTTTGTCTGAACTATTTCCCTTGTTTTCAATTCTTTTGCGTTACCAAGTATATTACTAAGCAAGAGATGTTGTAGTAAGTCAAACATAACTGCCTCAGTTATTAATTTTTATATAGGGAAAGTATGACCAATAACACATAGTCTTTGATAACCAGGAGGAGGATATTAAAAAAAATATTTATAGGTAATATAGGTCCTGTCTTATAATTTTTCTCCTTTTAATTCACCATTTATTTTACTTCAGACCGAAGAGGATTTTTTTTTCTGTTTTAGGATATTTTGTATTATGAGCAGCTTAAGTCAAATGTGATTCAGCATGACCTTTTAGTGGACAGCCTGATTTACAAGGTGAGTAATTTATTAAATAGTGTGTATTTGCTGATCAAAGCAACACCTGCTTCAAAAAACTTTGGCTACCTAGAGTGTGGGAATACTAGTTAATGTGAATTCTTATTTTGGACCCTAGTCCTATATGCAAAAATCCCCCCTCCTTCCTCTCTACCAAAGAAAAAACCACAGAGGGCTTTTTGAATACAGGGTTGAGCCTTAAACTGCTACTACACATTTTGTGAGCTGGTGATAATTTGAAGGTGTTTATTACAATAACTGGTCTTGAGATTAAAAAAAATTGTCAAAGTTAGAACTTTGGGTTTCTAAATTCTAGTCCAGAATATATAATTAAGCTGATGTTGTTTTGGAATTAGAAGTATGACGTCTGAGTCTGACTTTATCTGATAAATGAAAGGAAACTATATTAATGTTGAAACCATGTTCTTAACCATCGTGCTGTGCTTAGATTCTACAGGAGTCTCCCTGCAGGAGTCTCCCGAGTGGAAATGCTGTCTTTCAGCTTTAAATTGCAGTAATTTCTAATTGTAGGATGTAAAGCTGACAGCAAGCAATGATGACTACTACTTTGTATTTGAGGATTATCTATATCAGGTATGTAACTAGCCCTTGGAAATTATACTTTTCTTACGCTTTAAATCTTTGAAGTAAATGTTGCTTTTTTGTTTTACGTTTGTACAGTGTCTAGCATTATCAGGCCACTGGTTAAGGCCCCTACATCCTACTGCATTACACATAATACTGATTTTTTTTTTTCTTTCTGAAAGTAAATAATGTTAATTAATTCTGATCTTGTAGAAAGAGCAAGCAGACTTTCTCACCTGTGGAAATCTCCTTTCCTGGTTGAAGTTCATTGTGTTACTATCAAATACAATTTATATTTGAATCTGAACAAGATAAAATGAGAAGCTGATTGTGAATCTAGGATGGGTGTATGCAAGGAAGTTTTGACTTGTTTGGAGTCTCCGAACTGCAAAAGACACTAGCTGGTTTTTTAGGGCAGTAACACAAATGGATGAAGCTACTCTGCTAACCTTTTCAAGTTTTTAGTCATAAATTGTCACACAATAATACTAATTCTTGAGGAGAATATTTAAAATTTTAATTTAGATACCAAATTTGTTGTTTGGTCATGGTCTACTGGAGTCGATAATGGAGTAGTATTTTAAAATTAAAAACCAAGAATTGATCATTTAATATGAGGGTAGTATTATGGTTGCTGTGATATTTTTGTTGGAGTGATCAAACTAGCATTTTTACTAGCAAATGGGAAGCAGGCTAATTTAGATAGAATAATCTACATTACTTATCTTTTAAATCTGTCTAAATGGATGGCGATTATATTTGTGAATTTCTTAATGTGTATTTGATTGCAATGTCAACATAAATGTCATGGGGGAAACTTATCTTTTTCACAGTGCTTTCAGCTTGATTAGTCACAGCTGTTAGGGTGGGCTTGTTTAATTTTGCTCCTCAAAGCTGCATGAAACTAGAGTTTCTTTTAAAAGGCAGTATGACCTAGGTAAGGTTGTTTGTAGTCTGGAGAAAAATAAACAAGAAGCAGTTCATAATGTTACCATGTGTAGATTATATGTATTTAAATATAGTTATTCAACCATTTCTACATAATTATAAAAACACATTTTAATTATAATGAAATATACATTTAATATTAACAAGAATATGCAATGTAACGTGTATAAACTATTCAGTGTAAACTATGTACTTATTTCACCTCAGAAGTATGATTCCAATTTTAAATTAAAAGTATATCTTAAGGAAAGTATTATCTTAGTTTGGGATCTGAAAATCAAGTTAGGTTTGATCCATCATAAACATCTGTAAATATTTAGTAATAGTTATTATATATGTAATCATAAACAGGGACCTAGTTAATTCATGGTGGGACAAAAGGAATTTTCATGGCTTGGTCACAGCACAGAAAGCCAGTTTTGCAGGTATTTCCTGGTGGCCCTTCCCCTTGCTGCTGATTGGTGGAGAGCTCCTGGAGGGGAGGGAGGAATGAGGGGCTGGCTGCCATCTTGGCTGCTGGCTACCCTTCGTGCAACCCTGCTCCTCACTGCTGATTGGCGGAGAGGCCCCAGAGAGAGGGAGGGATGAAGAACTAGCTGCTGTCTTGGCTGCTGGTAGCCCTTTATGCTGCCCGGTCAGCCAGTGCCTTCCTGCCCTGGGCTGGCTGTGAGGCAGTGAGGACTGCCGGCTCTCACTGGGGAGCCAGCATTTTACTTTTATTAAATTTCTTTTAAGTTTATTTTGTGGACAGTCGCAGATTTTGTGCTTTTTGCAAAATCACGTATTGAATCGGTCCCTAATCATACATGAAAGGAAATGATCCTGTCTGCTCTTAGTGTTTCTTATTGGTTTTTGCAAAAATGTTTCCATGTCTGTCATTGCAATCACTTCTCAATACATAGTCACGCTTAAAGGTATATCCTTTTCAGCATGTAGATATTGAATAATACAAACTAACCTGATTGTTGGCATTCTGTGAAAAATATATTAACAAGTGGTTGTGCATTAGCCACACATTCCTCACAAGCTTCATGGAGACTCACCTACTTATTTCAGTGCAACACTCTAAAAAAAAATATAGGAGTACATTTTATTCAAGTGTTAAAAGACCAAACCTTTAGTCACTAATTGATCCTTTACATTTCATTTAATTCTTTATTGCAGTTTGCAACCTGCTTTGTAACCCTCATCATCATCTTTCCTAGCCTACCATATTTACTTGAATATAAGATGAAAGTAAAACAGCCCCCCAATAATTTGATTTTATATGTGAAAAATGTATAAATTTATTATAATTTTCCAGGTATAGAATCTAAGTATTGGAGGGTTGTTTTGAATCCCCTCCCCTCTGCCGCATTACCACAGGGAAATCAGTGACTGGGGGAGGAGTCAGGTGGCCCCCTTGCCCTCTGCCCCACCCACTTCTTCCCCATGCTGCTCTTCATGGAGCACAGGACTTAGAAGCCCAGTCCTTGCCTGGCTGTGCAGCAATGTCAGCGGTGCTGATTGGCCAGGCAGAGGAAGGAGTTTCCATGTGTTCCATGCTCGGAGAGACTGCAGCCCCAGCTGGAGCCAAGCTGTACCTGACAGTAAGGGGTGGGTGGGAGGGGCAGAAGCTGCAGAAAGAAAGCAGAGGGCAGAGCAGGAGGCTTCTGTGGGTCTAACTCTGGCTCCGACCTGGGATCTATAGTCAGTGAAACCACCGCCTGCCCCCTGCCCCCTGCGTCGTATGCGGATACAAGAGGAGGGGCTTCCCCCCTCCCCTCCCACTACTGTCTGGAAAAAAACCTCATCTTATATTCTACTAAATACAGTGATTTGCAACTGCATAATTTATGCATCATTTTGTTATATGGGCTGCAGAATTAGTCTGCTACAACATTGTTCCTTGATTCCATATAATAAGTGAGGAACAATGATGTTCAAGGAAAAGAATTTTCTAAAATTTAAATAATGATACTTAAAGTTAAAAAGTAAATGTAAAAACTTCACTGTCTTTACAAAACTGTTTATTACTGAGATGACAACCTTTCTGAGGATAGCTCTTGACTACTGGTGCTTTTACAGTACCTCTGTACTTGACCAGGACATCTGGGCCTAAAAGGATATGAAGATTAAATAATAATAGAAGTGAGCTGTACTATTGGGACCTCATTTAGGAATAAGTAATCCTTTTGGAAATGATGCTGCGAGATGAAATTGCTAGTCATTTGCTTTAATGTGATTTCTAAGTTGTATAATCATCCATTTATAAGACTCTGCTAGCTGAGTCTCTCTTCTGTGCAGCCATCACATCCTAATTTAGCTCCCCTAAAATGTATTCTAAAATACCTCTTTCTGATGTATGCTGTGATTTTTATTGCATCAGTTTGGCTTTTGAAAATAGTGGTTTTACAATTAATCTAAAATTAAATGGCCTATTAGTTTGTAAAATATTTAGCCATTTCCAAATAGCTTGTGTATCATGGACTTTTTGTGGTGTTACTTTTGTATACGAGGTATAGAATTTATAGCCCAGAAGAGGCAGTTTTAATAATTAGGCTGACCACCTGCATAAAATATACCATGCATCCTAACCTAGTAATTTCTGTATCAAGCCATAATTTCTGCTTGAGCTATAGCAAAGGTTTTAGAAAGATGGGCATTCTGGATTTAAAGACTTCCAGACATAAGCACTAGACATAATATTCCTAAAAAAGGGGCTGCAGATTAAGGTTACATTCCTTCTCCTACTGGAGAACATAGTTATTTCCTTTTTAGATTAGTCTTCCTTTCTCTCAGCTCAGTTAACATATACATAATATTAACTTTGCCTGTGTATTGTTACTGTATCTTGTGTATTGTATTTTGGCAGTTTGAAGTTGATTGTGAGTTGTTTAAAAATAATATTTAATTTAGATAGCGTTTAAGCACAGGCAGCACCTACTTATAGTTTTTAGATATAGTTTGAGATTCAATCAGATTGTAGCACAAAAAAATAATATTATGTTTCCAAAAGGAAGTACAAGCGGTTTCCAAAAGTAAGATTTTTACATGTTTACTTTGACAAATGATGTTCTCTAAAAATGGTTTACAGTTCAAATCTGGAAATAACAAATTGAATATTCAACCTTAACTCTGCCACCTTGTGTACATTCATAATAGTGCAATCTTTCATTGAAGGAATTTTTATTTTTAATACAGCACAGCTTAGCATAAAATGCTTTTTTCTGACAACTTTAGATATGTGCATAGCATCTTTTACTATTGTTTACTTTTCAAGGCCCGCTTGCAGTATACTTTTACACAATTATGCTCTATTTTCTTTATTATAAACTATTAAACTCTAAATATGCATTTAGCACAGGCTGAAGCAACATGATCTTCCCGTTCTGTTTTTTCCAGTTGTATTGCTTCAGTATGAATGGAATGTTGAGACTATAACAGGAGGATCTTCTAAAGGTTCTCTGACTGAGAAAGAATATGAGGGACAAGCATTTTGCACATGCAAAAATGCAGATAATTTTATTTATTTATTTTACTTGGTACAGTTGCCATTGGTCATTGTAACTGCATATGTAAATGGCCTGTTACAGGGCTATCTAACTTTAGTGCCTGGGGACTGGATCAGTGGCAATAATGGGTTTCTTGGGTGCTCCGCACATGGGCACTCTCTACCCCACTCTGCACCAGGCATGCAACCACTTCCCTCCCCTCCTCAGCACTGTGTGGGGGTTCAGGTGCCCCAGTCCCACCTTCATCTCCCTGGGCACAGGCTCCTCCACTGCTCTTCCATGCCATGGGCTTCCCAGGCAGCATGGGCTGTGTTGTGCTGTTCCACCTTGCCCCCTGGAGTGAGGCAGACACAGAAACCAGAGGGAAAAGGAGTCTGGACACTGCTGCTGCAGCCAGTGATGTGGGGAGTGGTGGTTAGGTGGGATCCCAAGGGCTGCAAACTAAATGCCCTCGCCTGTTAGATATCTGTGTGGTCCATTGTGTGCAGTTACCATAACTACTTGTACAGATGGTTTATGTGCATACAAAGGTCTAAAAATATAAACCCCGAAGTCTGGTAACTAATGCCTAAGAATGTCTTGCATTCAAAAACTTGTCTTACTCTATCCCAACTGCTCAGTTGCTCCAATAAAAGATATCACTCTAAGAAATCCTTACCTCTCTCAAAAAAAATTAAAATAATTTCAAGGTGCCAACCCTTCTGTTGACCATGGGAGATCAGTGTGATACCACATGATGATACAGACCACCACTAGAGGAGAACAGGTTACTTTGCCATTGTGTTCCACCGGTATTTGCTGACAGCAGAGAATGGAGGGATGCAAGAAGCATAAGTTATATGCCTAGGTCTGAAGGAGGGTTGAATGAGCTTTGTAAAGATGTTTCTGCCCTGTTACCATGTTTATTTAATTCTAAGATGAGGTCCCCTGCTTAACATATCTTAGAATTGAGTATGAGGGCAGGTGACCTGGAATCCAGCCATAGCCACAGCCACTGCCTGTCCTACCCTTTTTGCCTCTGTACCCCACCATCTTCCTACAGCAGCCTCTTCTTCCTGTCTCCCCCTACACCCACAGGCTCTACTTCCTCACCTGCCTCTCTCCTGCTTCCCCCCGCACTTTGCCTTGCTCCCTGTTCCACCACAGCCTGGGGCAATGAGTATGGTCCCAGCTCAGCCCCATAAATAGATAAATATCCAAGTCTTGTCAAGTAAATATGGTAGTTATGTTGTATAGGTGCAGAAATTTTTTTAATGAATCAGTTGCCAATTGTATACTTCTGCATATGACATTGCTGTGTTGATGTAGCAGTTCTCTGATGGTTTGTCTTGTTTTCTTCAGGTATTATTCTGCTTTTCTCGTGATACATCAGTACTGGAGCACTTTACTTACAGCAGTGCTACCCCACCCAAGTCATACATACGAGGTAAAGGAAAAACATTTTAAGTGAAGATTTCTAGTCATTCTTCCATAGACTGTGTCATATTAACAGATATACATATTGCATATTTCTTAAAATACCCTACAAAGAACATTATTACAAAGTACATTATTACAGTTGTGTTCTTTTACTGTAGTTTTGTATGTATATTTACCTGTTTTTGAAAAAGGAGACTAAAAAATAGAAAACCCATGATGTGACATCAGACTGACTCATATAATCATTAGCAGAATTGGAAACTTTAGATCCACTGCAAAGGTCTCTGTCTCTTGTGCAGTTTGAATAACTGAAAGCAGTAGTAAATTGTCATCCTTTCTATAACGGCGCTGAGAAGGATATCTGACCCTTTGAGTTTCAAAGATATTTGTTAACAGCAGAGGCGAGCAGAGATTTGAGAATCTTGGGTTGCATTCTGGGCTTTAGAGAGGAGTTCGCTTTGTTTCCTGCAGGCTTGGCCTTTTTTTGTTCCTTTCATTCATTTCTGTTCCTCCCCACTCTGTCAGTCCTTACCTTGCTCCCGCTTTCCTCACCTCATCGCTTTCTTCCTCTTTCTCAGTTCGCTCCCTGACTCGTGGTCCAGTCACTACCCAACCCGTCACAATCCGGTTGCATCTCCCACTTCAACTCCCATCTCAGTTTCTGTCTTTCCTCCAGCCCATCCTCCACTCCCAGTCCCTCCTACCCCAAGGATCTTTTTCCTAATTTGCTCCTTCCTTTTCATCCCCTACTACAGCATTGTTGATCCGGCTCTCAGTTCCTTCTGCATTTGAATCAAGCGGCTTCCTTATCTACCCTGTTTCATACTTTGTGGTCTTTATTGTCTAGCCACCTACTCACAAACTGCTGATCTGTTTTGGTTAAAGTTTTCTGAAAACGTCAATGTCAGGAAGACAATGAGAGTGGAAAAGTTATGCCCGAAACGGTTAAAAAAAAAGGTTGGCAATATTTTAGGAATGTTTTAGCTTATATGGTGTTTCATATGCCTTTGTGGGTTTTTGTTTTTGTTTTGTTGTTGTTGTTTCTAAGTCAAGCAGCAAAATCATGATTGGTGAAGACATGCATCCACTGCAGTCACTATTAAAATTGCCATTGACTTCAGTGAAGCCAGGATTTCTAAACTAGGAATCCAGCTGTACAGTCCTTGAAAGAAGGAAAAATCTAATGCATTTTTAGAACATATACCTGTGTCATTTTAGCCCAGTGTTTTGGGATCACCAAGTCATATATATATATGCATATGTATGTACGTGTGTGTGTGTGTGTCTGTGTACAAGTTTCCCTCGCTTTATGCTGTACATTCATTCCTGGAAAATGGCGCATAACTTGAAAGGGAACCCGCTTTACAATGTAGCAAATAGGGATAGGTTCCAAGACCTCAACTGTACTGACCCCCAGACCCATTTCTACCACTTTTACAAGAGAATTTTGGTACTCACCAACAGCAGACAATATACACAAGCACAAGTTGCTATAATAACAGGGATGGCAACTACAGAAACACATGTTGCAGACAACAAGTGAAGAGACAGATCCACACAGGAAACTATATTTTGGTGTGCGTCACTCCCACAATGCACCGCACAAAGCAGCTGACTGCAGGCTTCCACTACACCGATTGCGTAAGAGTGAATTTACCTTGCGTATAATGACTTTTTGGTATAAAAACAGTCATCGCATAAGAGCAAATTCAGACATACAGAACCTGCATAAAGCAAGGGAAACCTGTGTGTGTGTGTGTGTGTGTGTGTGTAATATAATCTGCTAGAATGCTAGAATCTCCCATTGCAAGGCTGATCATGAAATAATATATTTTAGTACTGCCATTGGTATGAGACCAAATGAACATCCAGTGTAATTTTAATGGGAAATTCCAGAATGTCACAGAGAAGGAAACATCTCTAGTTTAGATAAGAGTTTTAAAAAATGAGATCTTTTTAAACCTACTTAGAAATCTGAGACAAACTGTGGTTCAAATGAATTAGTGGGCAGAAAATACAAGGTAATACATGTTCAACCTTTGTTTATTACTATTTTAGAGGTTGTATTTTTGCTTGAAAACCATTGCATTCACACTGAATTCCACTGAATTCAAATAATGAGATTTAAATCTAGTTATAGTGAGATATATATATATATATATATAGGCAACAAATAAAAATTGATTAGTGGTCTTAGCCATTTAATTCTATTGATTCCTTAGTACAATAAATGTATATACTTTAAGTCTAGGTATTTTAAATTTCCTTCTGAGTTTGACAAAAATTTTTTTCCTCTTTTTGCAGGAGATTCTGTTGTATAGAATTTACACAATACAATGATCAATTGATAAAAAGTTCTGTGATTCACAGATCCTTGTCTTATCACAAATGGTAATTTTTTGAGGCTTTAAAAAACATTGCTGTTAATAACTAGCAACAGTCGTCCCTGTTCTAGTTTAATATTCTTGCTTATCCTAAAACTATAGAAAGAAATTGAGAACATCTTTTAAAATCAGTTCAGTTGTGTTTAAAAACGTGTATATAAAGTAAATAAATTGTAAGACTTGAAATCATGGAGATCATTTAAAATTCCAATTGGGTCGTGCTTCTATTTTCACTTTGTCCACTGTTTCAATAATGCCAGCCTTAATGCATCATCTGTCTGTTTCTCCCTCTAACATTTTTGCATTTTCTTAAGCGCTACTTCTATCTTAGAACACTCTTCTGCATCTGGCCTACTTCAGCATGCCCATCTTCATGATTTATCCCTTGAAGATGTCAACTGTGTTTGCAGTGTCCACACAGAGAGTGGATCAATAATACACTTGTTATCTAAAAATCCCCAAACTACAGAATCACTTAAGATGTATGCCTGCATGTGTCCACTGTCTATGTTCAGTGGTGTTATTGCTGAAGTACTATTGCTTCCGATCCTCTGTGCTGTTTATTACTTTTCCTTGCTGTGTAACATTTTCATTTTATGCTGGAGGAAAACAAATATCAGTTTTCTGTTTCTTATGAAATGCCTTGCACATTTTGGGGTGAAATAAAATGAAAAGATATTCCATTATTTATGAAGTTTGTGGTTATGTTCCTGAAAAACAAAGTTCACATTTTGAAAGAGAGGTTTTTTTACCATTAAATCATATTTAAACACTTCTCTGCTTATTTACAGGAAAACTTGGAATGGAAGAATATGCTGTTTTTTACCCACCAAGTGGTAAGTGTTATACTGTAGCCTCCTCCAGTGGGAGATCAGGAGTATTGCAGCTTCTTACAACAATAAAATATTGGTACTGTTTTCTTTTTTAAATTATGTTTGACTGGTTCTGACAGCTTTGTTAATTTAAGACTGTACTATAACGAGCTCGGGCATTGGGCTGCATCTTCAGAAAGGCTAAAGCACATGTACATTAAATCTGGCTTCAGTACCTACATGAGGACTGGGGAATCTTATGGTGGCCTAAAGCATGTGTGGATGCTCATATTCCACTTCTTGATCCTGGTTTCAATTAAGTAAGAAACGAGATGGGTTCCCTCTCTGATCACCAGCTGTCTTGCACTTTTAGAAACTATGGCATAAAGGTACCAAACTGTATACTAACCAAGGATTTTTTGTAATGTCTTTAATTGGACCAACTGTATAGTTAGGATAGAAGTTTGACAAGCTTTCACAGCAGTATGTGCCTGAAAGCTAATCAAACTTGTATACCAGTTGGTCTAGTAAAAGATGTTACAAAAACCTCTTGCCTGCCATATATTTTCTGGACCATCATGACTACAACACTCCAAGTCTCTCACTAAGCATGTTATTACTTTATTTTTATTTAGAGGTAAATCTATGCATATAATTTTCAACTTAATGGTATTGATGTTGCTGTTACTGCAGTGGTTGATCTATCTTCTTAGCAGGAAAGTTCCTCACCACTTTGAGTCCTTTTATTGTCTGTTTACTGAATTGTATATCATGTTTAAGCTCCTTAGTCCTTGATTTCAAGATCCTACGTCATTGATCTTTTGTCTGTATCTCTGACCTTGTCTTCTTCTGTGTCTTCTCTGTTCTGGCAATGTTGCCAGTCCCAGCACATACTCTTGGTCCTCTTCTTCCACTTCTGTATTGTTCCATGCAGCCATCTAAGCATGAAGCATCCTCCTTAATCTCATTTGCTAAAACAGCTATTTCTCTTCGTTAAAATCCCTTAAATCATTCCTCTGTCATCTAGGGGAACTAAGATGATTTGGAAAGGAGTGGAAAACTGACATGATGCAACTACAAAGGTGTCCATGAACTCATTATTGAAAATTGTGTCTCTTTCTCCTACTGCTGCCTCATTGTTAGTGTGTGACCTCATCCTGATTTATGTTAGACGTGATTGCTAGAAAGTATGTGCTTAAGAACTTTGAATCAGGCCATTACTCTGATCTTGGAGTGTTGGAATGTTAAGTATAGCCTTAACATTTAAGCAAATAAGTAATTTCACTGAAGCAACTAGGACTGCTCCCATGCTCAAATAAAGCATGTGAGTTTTAAATTAGTTGCATAGATAACTAAATGTGTCTAAATGGGACCTAGAATAATTAATTGTTTACATTTTGGACTGCAGAGTCCACTAGGTGTCTACCATAGGAAATCTGAGCATGTTCAAAAGAAATCTAGTTGCAGCACTTAAAACCACCTAAGCTCTGTTGAAGTTCATATTCTTGCTGGGGTGTACCTAAACTCTGCCCAAGTCCCTGGAGAGGTACAGTATAGTAGGTGTACATGCAGCACATCTAACATACATCAATAGCATTGACTTCAGCTAAAAAAATAAGGAGCCTGCCCAGTGGTCAGGTTCAAGAGGAGAAGATAAAGGTGGTCATGTCCACCTTTTTATCTGTTATAAGTTATAGTAGTAGTTATATATCACTCACCTAGGGAGTGAGAAATCTGGATTCTAGGCCCTCCTCACCCTGAGTGAATTTTAACCCAGTTTAATAGAATAGATTCTCCACCCCTCCTGGCAAGCCTAGCTGTTAGTCACCTAAGAGCAACAGGCCAGAAGGAGAGCAAACAAGAGAGTACATGCCTGTTTAATTTAGTGCTTACATCATTGCTCTGGGAGAAGAAATCCTAGGGTCCTGTACTTGCTGCCAAGGCTCTGTGCATTGTATATTTAAATGGCAGTCTGGTCATTGTTTAAAAAACACACAATTCTATGACCAGTGTCCAGAACCCATGTTGCTGCCACTCAGTCTGTTAGGTGCTTGTCCACCGAAGTTGAGCTAGGTATTAAGTGCCTAATGGCAGCAAGTCATGCATCTAAGCTCTTAAGAGGATGGGAATTCAAATGCATCCCTGTATGGTAATGTTTTCCCTGAGTTACCCTTTGCAGATGCCTCCTTATCCCCATTCTTGGTTCAAAGCACCTAGTCATGTAACCATGGGTGCATCTGCCCATACTATTAGCACAGAGCAATAAACTCTGGCACTGGCACATATCACACCAAAGTTTATTGCTCCCAGGTGCAGTGTCTTCATGTGATCTTGGGACTAGCACATAGAGCTGGGTCGGAGCAGCCCTGGCTGGCAGGAGGCCCAGCTGCCAGCATGGGGCTGCTCCAATGTGGCTTAACATGCTGCAGAGGGGCTGGCTGGGGTATGAGGGTGCTCTAGTGCAGGGCTAGCCAGCATGCAGCTCTACACTGAAGCAGCCTCGTGCCTCAGCCAGTCCTGTTAGCGTCTACACATACATTGCTGCACATTTAAAAAACGCTGCCGCAGGGTAGTACTTGTATGGCGAAGTTAATTCATTTCCTATGGCCTAATAGAGTCGCATATTTAGATGCTGAGACTTTACTGCAGAGCTAATTAGACCATGAAATAAACCCGCGAGTTGGCTTTTTGGAGGTGCTTGTGTCTTCCCATTTACTGTCTAGGTAGGAATCCTAAGTGCCACTACCTGGCCAAGTTGAATAACCTTCTGGCAGTGTAAGTGCAGGTGCATGTTAGATTCAGTTTAAATTTTGTCTGCAATATTTAGAGAAGGCAACATGCCTTGAGTTGTTCCCATTAAACACCAAGTACACGTTGGGAACTGGAAAAAACTGTTTTATGGATGAATAGAGATAAGAAAATAAAAGATAAAATAAGATTCCTTGTTTTGTAGGTGTAATTCCTTTTCATGGCTTTTCAATGTATGGTAAGTGTGATTTCAATATTAATACTTTAAGTATCCCCAGCCCAGCCCCTGGCTTCTTTACTTTTCATTCCATCCAGGAAGAGCACACACCAACTGCTGAAACTTTCTTAGCCTGACGAAGGGTTTTTGAACTCGAAAGCTTGCTTAATAACTATTCTTCAACTATTTGGGTTGGTCTAATAAAAGATATCAAATTCACCCAAGGAACCTTGTCTGTTAATACTTTAAGTAGTTATTCAGGATGTTTTTTCCATAAATAGCAGTGTATTTTGTGTCTTTATACATATATTGTATAAACTACTCTATCAATTTTTAAACATTTGACTATTTAGTTCAAGTAACTCTGTGTGTGTGCGTGCGCGCGCGCACACATGTGTGATTATGAAAATTCCAAGACTGATCTCTTTTCTAATATTATAACTCATTGGTATGTAGGGGATCTCTTTTCAGGAACAATTATCTGAGCGTTGGTCTCCAGCTTCACTCATAGCAATTGAGGTTCAAGATACATGAATGGAGGGAGAAGGTTTCATAAGAGAATGTGATCTCACTGTGCATTGTTCCTTCTGGGCAAACAAGAACAATGTGAAGAATGTTTTCTCATAAAAGTGTCTTGTGCAAAAAGTGGCATACATATATGGCTGGTGAGGGGCATCATATTGAGGAATACTTAGGACTAAATTGCAAAGAGGAAAATTAAAAGAATTAATTTTGTGAATGTAATGAGTAATTAATGTACTTTTAAGAGCCTCTTCATACTAGCTGTTTTGAGTTCTCTCCCATTACCGCATTAGTGCATCTTGTGTGGAAATCCAGATTATCAAAAGCATTAAGATTAAAAGAATGTGTTCTATATACAAGTATTCTAGAAAAGAAGGATTTTTATATTTTTGTGGAAAAAAGCCATCACTGTTCAGTCATGGCAAGGCAGTTGGTATATGTGTGTTCAAATGACAGGGGCCTTTATTTCTGATCTAGTGAAGTTTCTGGAGGTTTTCTTACTGATGAGTAAATAATGTTTTTGTTTCAAAGAGGATAAGTAAATTGGGTTATTGTATGGCAAGACAACTTCAAGGGGTACTACTGCTGTTTAGTAAATTGTATTTCCGTACCCTTAATAAAACCCTTTGTAAATTCCTTAATAAAACCCTTTGTAAATTCACTGTTTGATCAGCAAAATAGGGAATCCGAAGTTGGATGTGAGGATCTGGGTCTTTTAATTAAAGTACTGCTTGGATGATTTTCTTCCTAGCATCCTCATAGTGACAATGTGTTTCTGAGTAATTCAGTCTTCAATATATATATTAATCCTCGCTATGTCCCTTTCCAGTAGGTAAGTACTATAGACTCCAGCTTACAGAGAAACTGAGACAGAGTGTGTGACTTGCCAAAGATTACATAGTTAGTTGGATCCAGACTTCTTGAGTCTGAAGCTAATGTCCTCGCTGCTAGAAAATCATATTTTTGATGCTCATGAATCCAGAGCTGTAGAATAAGCAGGCTCCAGTTATTTTTACCTATATGGCATATATGGAGTTGTCTTATGGTATACAAATCCACCTCTTCTTATTTTTTTTAAATGATAGAATCAAATATAAAAATAAACATGCCTTTCTAAATAATTCAGAACTAATGTACATATTATACTGTTATAAATATTATTGACTTATTTTCCTCATACTTCATGCACTTATCATTGAATATTTTAGCAGTTTGCCATGTTGAGTCAATTAATTTTTTTTTATCCTTTCAGTTGCTCCACTTTGTTTTCTGTACCATGAACCTTCCAAATTGTATCAGATATTCCGTGAGATGTATGTGCGTTTTTTCTTCAGACTCCATTCCATCTCTTCTCATCCCTCTGTAAGTTCATTAGGAAATAAGATCAAATCAGACTTTATTTTTAGTTGCTATGGAATAATGTATGTTAACATGATCTGTTTTTCTTAAGCATGCATTAATGAGAAATATCCTATTTTAAATGTGATAAAAAAAATTTAAGCAAGCCTCAAGTACATTCTGTAGCTTTATTCAGATGTCTCTATAATAAATTCTCTGACAGATATAACTTAATAATGCTAATGCTTTAAGATTTTGGGGGAGCTGTTTCTTTTATGTAATAAAGTCCTGAACTCAGGACACATTCTTAAGATTCATATAGAAGTCAGAGACTTATTTACTACTGAAGTGCTTTCTGATCCATTTAGGTGCATGAGATATAGAGAGGTAGTGAAAGATCGACTTCAGTTTCAGTTATTTTGTGTTTGTGATTACAATACTTTAATAATGAAGAGCCTTCTAGGAATTGACCACAGTAGTTTACATATCAGATTTTCAATGATGCCTCAATTTAGCCTCTTCTTTAACCAGTGCATCTTTGTGTGCTTGCATACACTTCTTTTTAGTGCTTCTACATGAAGGGAAATGTATGTAGATTTCGTTACTGACCTGTGTGTTTTGTGTTCAGACATTCAGAAGCAACTTGTGAAAGTTTTTTAGTTGCTGCATACTTAATAGTTAATATTATACACACTACAGAAAGTATAATAGTTTTCTTTTCCCTTTCACAAAAAAGCTTTCTTAGTTTTTGATAACATATCTTCACCTTAAAAACGTTAAATTTTTTAAGCATTGAAGTTTGAAAAGACTGCTGATAATGGGTTGTTCTTACCTGTATAAACTGTCAAGCAAAGCGTTTAAGACCAACAAGCTTCTCCAGATCATGACATGTGGTATGCAAATGAATATGGTAATTAATAAAGTTAATCATTAATAGATAGTTAATAAACATAGTTAGATAGATAGTACATAATTTGCTGAAAAGTCAGTTAGGACTTAAACCTGCAAACTTACACTTGGGCCTAAAAGTGAAGGCAAAGTATATTGAGAGACAAACGATAGCTAACTTATCCTATCCTAGTGATAGCTATTCTGCCTAATGGAAAGTTTTGCCAGATTGGGCCTCTATTTTGGGACTTTATAGTATTCCCGTATTCATGCTAATAAGGAAATTTTCATAATAGAAAATAATGACCTATTTTCTCTTTTAAAAATGTCTCTTGCCTGTTTTGCTGATTATCAAAGATAATGCACAGAATTCCTATTTTTGTCAATGTCTTTCTGAATAAGATCAAGTGTAGCAACTAGCACAAGTATTTTATCAAAATAAAAATACTTCATTGTAGGCCATTACTACACTTAGACCATGACCATATAAACCTTCTATGCAAGTAACTCGGAGAGAAATGGAACGGTTTATGTATATGATAAAGTTATTCACATATGGAACTGCTTTTATAGGATCAAGGCCTCAACAATTGAACATATCATGATCTGTCTACTTTAGTTGTGAAATTATGACATTAATATTGTGTCTTGCTGCTTAAATTAATACGCATTTGTATTTATACTCAGATATACTTTTATCAAATTTTACAATGGAAAAACTATTAGTGAAAAATGTGTTTTCAGGATGTGATGGTGTTGTTTTGCTAGGGAATTGTGTCGTTATGTTTGCTGTTTGAGACCCTTCTTCAAACCCATCTACCACAACTCTTTTATCATCTTCGAGAAATTGGGGCACAACCGTAAGTACTTGCTTCTAATGTGAACCTTGGCTCATGACATTCAGTGCAACTTGTATTGTTCTGGAAATGAGGTTCTTTGGTATTTTAATCTAATAGTTATGGTTACAGTAAAAGCACAAATATCAGGTAGGTTTCCCAGTTTCCACTGAAAATCAGTTGGAGTTGGGTGTTTAACTTTATTACGTGCTTTCAAGTCTCCCCCTTGATATATATCTATACATTATAAAATAAAACAGAAAGCTATTCTTCAAGTCTGCAGGAATTACTGTATTTTCCAGCCATTCATTACTTAGTAATTCTGCCAGATCTGCTAGAGAAAACTAGATGTATTTCCTGGGATTCAGATGATTTCTTTACATTGCAATGTGGGATTTGTCCTACAATGTTTAGGTTGATAAAGACTATCAGTTCTTACAATAGTTAGACAGCACCTAGCATAATCAGATCCCAGTATAGTTGATCTTTAGATGCCACTGTAATATTGATGATGATGATCTGTTTGCTAGAAACTTAAGGGAATAGGCAAAGTTTAAAAAAAATGATACAGTGCCCTATAATGCAAGATGATGAGCATCTACAGACCTTGATTAGAGCCGGTGAGAAATACTGCAGCAGAAATCTTAAAAAACAAACAAACATGAAGAACCTTGCAGCTTATAGAATTTTAAAATAGTCTACTTTAAATTATTGTATTATGAGAGGGTATTGGATGAAGTATTCTGAGATTGTGGTGTTTATCTTTAAGAATTCATGGCTTATGGGTGAGGTTCCAAGGACTGGGAAAGCAAATATAGCTCCTGCTGTTAGAGGGGGAAGGAGGAGGACCAACAGGAACATACACACCCAAAAGGCTTACTTCAGTTTCTGGAAAGATACTGGGAGAAATAATCATACAACATAGACTGGTTTAAAGCAAATAGGGTTAAACCAGCTTGATATCTTTTTATGACCTAATATCTGCCATTATGGATAAAGAAGGATCAGATGATGCACTGTATTTCACCTTTTAGTGATTTTTTGGCATGGTCTCCCATAACTTTCTTATCAGAACTATGGTCTATAGCAATGGTGGTCAAACCGCAGCTCATGAGCCACATGCAGCTTGCCAGCATGGTTCTTGTGGCTCTCCGGGGCTTCTCCCCCAAAGTCCCACCCACTTCTCCCCAAGGCAGCCCCTGCAGCCTTGCTAGGTTGTTCAGCACCTCTCCCCGCACTCTCCGGCTTTGGAGATGTGGCTCCCAGGGTGAGTAACTTAAGTCTGGCCACCCCTGGTCTAGAGGAAGCTATGTTAAGGTGGGTACACAACTGGATTGTGGAATCTTTCCCACTGAGGGATTTTAAGAATAGGTTGGACAAATCTCTCTCAAGAATCGTTTTGATATAATTGGTCCTGCCTTGGGATCAAGAGATATACTAAATGACCTCTTGAGGTCCATTCCAACTCTGTTTTCTAAGATTGTGTAATTTTTACTTGTCTTCCAATTACAGACTACGAATATCATTTAAATGGATGGTACGAGCATTTTCTGGTTATTTAGCAACAGACCAACTCCTGCTTTTATGGGACAGAATCCTAGGATACAACTCACTAGAAATTCTTGCTGGTAATGAAAATCTTATTTATAAATAGTGTTAATTTGTATGTAGAATTTAAAAATAATTAAAACTTATCTTACCAAGAGTGGGAAATTCTTTTCCTCTCATGATTATTGAGAACAGAATACAAACTATTATTAAGTCAAAAAAAATATAACTGTTACATAGGGAAAACAGTAATATATAAATATCCCAGTTCTTACAGAAGTTGTCAGTTAATGAAATACTTAACATTAGGGCATCTCTAACAAGTGGGCGTCCTGGGGCCAGTCTAAATGTAAGCCTACCCACCTGCCTCCTGACCTGCCATGCCTTGATGTTACTAATTATCTGATGTTAATCAGGTAGGAGGCTGTCCACTTATCTGCCCTGATGACAAGGGCTTATGTATATGACTCCAACCTCCCCTTATCATATCCTATGCCTCACTGATGGTTTCCTTCAGTGGCCCGAACTGGGACCCAAGCTCCGAAGTCTCACTGGGACTCTCACTCCCCACTGGAGCTCGTGGTTCCAGCACCTTCACCCTGGGTTCTCTCTTTACACATGTACACATACACTGGACCCCAAGTCTGCGCACACTCTCAGGGCTCCAGCCCCAGACCTTGGGAATCAGGGCTCTGAGCCCTGTCCTCAAGCCCTCCCTGGGCTATCCCCTTATCCCTGGCCCTGGGAGTTTCCTTAATAACTCCCTAAGGCTCAAGGCCCCACCTCCCCTGGAGCTTCACCCTGGCTCCTATATGCAGCCTCTGACCTCCACCGAGAGTCTGGGTGCTGCCACAGGTCCCTCCACCGACCTAGGCCCTGCCTCAGTACTCTCAGTGAGTCTGGGCTCCCCCTGCTTGATCTCACCCACCAGGGATGTGTGGGGCTGGGGTTAGGAGGCTCCTCATACTCGCCTTTCACTGGGGCAGTAACTTACCTGGCATTTCTGGTGGACTGTTCCGCCACAGACAGTCCCACCATGCCACCTGTCCATGGCAGGGTGCAGTTTCTGGTCATGCCCAGAGCCATGGGGATTCCTCCTTCCCCATAACCCCAGCCCCTACTTTACCTCCAAGATGTTGCTCTGAGTGGCAGCCCAGCCAGGTGGTGTTCTTCCCTGCTGCTGGCAGCCTACTGCTGCCTCTTTGCAGTTCAGGGCTCAGCTCTTACAGAGTACAGCTGGACCCTGCTGCCCAATCAGGCCACTCTGCCTAATTGGCATTGCAGGCAGCTGCAGGCTGCCTAGCTGCTACTTAAGCCCCTGTTAGTAACAGAGCACTGTGTGTGTGTGCGTGCGTGCGTGCGTGCGTGCGTAGGCACAGGCAGTGTGTGCGTGCGTGCGTGCGTGCGTAGGCACAGGCAGTGTGTGCGTGCGTGCGTGCACGCGTGCGTGCAGGTACAGGAAGTGTGTCAGTGTGCGCGAGCGCGCAGGCACAGGGAGTGTGTGTGTGTGCGCGCGCGTGCGTGCAGGCATGGGAACTGTGTGTGCGCGTGCGTGCAGGCATGGGAACTGTGTGTGTGAGTGTGTGTGTGCACGCGCGCAGGCACGGGAAGTGTATTTGTGTGTGCGCGCGTGCGCGCAGGCATGGGAAGTGTGTGTGTGTGTGCGCGCACGTGCAGGCATGGGCAGCGTGTGTGTGTGTGCACGCGCATGCAGGCACGGGCAGCGCGCGCACGCATGTGCAGGCACGGGCAGCGTGTGTGTGTGTGTTCACGCGCGTACAGGCTTGGGCATGGAAACTGTGTGTGTGCGTGCGCGCATGCAGGCACGGGAAGTGTGTGTGTGTGTGCGTGTGCAGGCATGGGAACTGTACGTGTGTGTGCGCGCACGCACGGGAAGTGTGTGTGTGTGTGTGTGTGTGTGCGCGCGCACGCACGGGAAGTGTGTGTGTGTGTGTGTGTGTGTGCGCGCGCACGCACGGGAAGTGTGTGTGTGTGTGTGTGTGTGTGCGCGCGCACGCACGGGAAGTGTGTGTGTGTGTGTGTGTGTGTGCATGCGCATGCATGGGCAGTGTGTGCGCGCGCGCAGGCACGGGAACTGTGTGTGTGTGCGTGCGCGCGCAGGCACGGGTACTGTGTGCGCGCGTGCATGCGCGCGCAGGCACGGGTACGGTGTGTGCGCGTGCAGGCATGGGAACTGTGTGTGTGCGTGCGCACAGGAACGGGAAGTGTGTGTTTGTGCGTGTGCGCGCGCAGGCACGGGAACTGTGTGTGTGCGCGCACGCAGGCACGGGAACTCTGTGTGTGTGTGTGTGTGCGCGCGCGTGCGCAGGCACGGGAAGTGTGTGTGCGCGTGTGCACGCGCAGGCATGGGAACTGTGTGTGTGTGTGTGTGTGTGTGTGTGCGCGCGCGCAGGCATGGGACCTGTGTGAGTACGCGCGCAGGCATGTGAACTCTGTGTGTGTGCGTGTGTGCGCGCGCAGGCACGGGAACTGTGTGTGTGTGTGTGTGCGCGCGTGTGCAGGCACGGGAACTGTGTGTGTGCACACGCGCAGGCATGGGAACTGTGTGCGCGCGCGCACGGGAACTGTGTGTGTGTGTGTACGCGCACGCGCAGGCACGGGAACTGTGTGTGTGTGTATGTGTGTGTGTGTGTAGTGTGAACGCACACAGTCATGGGAACTGTGCGTGTGTGAGTGCGCGTACGCAGGCACCGGAACTATGTGTGTGCGCGCGCGCAGGCACGGGAACTGTGTGTGTGTGTGTGCACCCGCAGGCACGGGAACTGTGTGCGCGCGCGCGCAGGCACGGGGACTTTGTGTGTGTGTGCGCGCGCGCGCAGGCATGGGAATTGTGTGTGCGCGCACGCGCAGGCACGGGAACTGTGTGCGCGCGCGCGCTCACGCAGGCATGGAAATGTGTGTGCGCGTGTGCGCAGGCATGGGAACTCTGTGTGTGTGTGTGCGTGTGCGCACGCAGGCACAGGAATTGTGTGCGCGCGTGCGCAGGCACGGGAACTGTGTGTGTGCGTGTGTGTGTGTGTGCACGCAGACAAGGGAATTGTGTGTGTGTGTGTGTGCGCGCAGGCACGGGAACTCTGTGTGTGTGCGCACACTGGCACAGGAATTGTGTGCGCGTGCGCAGGCACGGGAACTGTGAGTGTGCGCGCGCGCAGGCACGGGAAGTGTGTGTGTGTGCGTGCGTGCGCGCAGGCATGGGAATGTGTGTGTGTGCGTGCGCGCGCGCAGGCATGGGAACTGTGTGTGTGTGTGTGCGTGCGCGCGCGCAGGCATGGGGACTGT